CATGACATGGAGGGATTATGAAGAGGGACCCAGAAACTCCGGGGGTGATGGATGTGTTCATGATTGTAATTGCAGTGATGGTTTGTATGTGTAGACGAGTGATGGCGAACCTTTTAGAGCTTCCGCTGGTAACAAACACCCTGCTGTGGCATGCATGCCGCAAGTTCGCCACTACCCATACAGACACATTGAAACTGATGACATGTTGTGTTCTTTAAATGTACGCAGCTTCTTGTATGTCAGTTAGAACTCAATAAAGCTGTAAAAAACCTTCCTTGCAGAAACGTGCGTCATATGCAGATTGTCCAGGGTTCTCCAGAAAATAGAACCAGTAACGGATTTGTGGAGGAAGAGAGAAAGGGAGAGAGAACGTGTAAGCCTGAGAGAGACTGATTGTGAGGAACAGGTGCGCAGGGCTGTGGAGGCTGAGAAGCCGGTGATCTGCTCTCTGCAAACTGGGAAGCCCGGAGGGCTGGTGGGGCCGTTCCAAGGCCTTCGAGCCAGATTCCAGCCTGAATCTGAAAGCCTGAGGACCAGGATCTCCAGGGGCAGAAGTGTGATGTCTCAGCTCGGGTCAGATGGAGCAGGAATCCAACCTTCCTTGGCCTTTTGGTTCCATCCGGGCCCTCGGTGGGTGGGGTGATACCTGCCCATGCTGGGGAGGGCCAGGTGCTTTACTCAGCCCACCAATCCGAATGCTGATCTCTTCCGGAAGCACCTCCCAGACACGCACAGACAGAGCCTGTAGCCAGCTATCTGGGCATCCTGTGGCCTGGCCAAGTGGATCCATGACTTTAACCACCATAGTGACTTTTGTCCCGTGGAATCAGTTCCAGGTGACCAGTGCAGAGGAGTCAGTGATCGTGGCGAGACATAGTGACAGGACAGGACAAGCCTAGAGCCTACCCCTCATCACTAGGGTGACACCTGGACACTGTGGGGCCTTGGTGGGAGAGGAGTCCCGTTTTAGACAGACGGTGGTGGCAGAGTGTGGCCAGAGGTGGGGGGACAGGAGGCTGGTGTGATGGTGTGGGTGAGAGATGGTAGCTCAACTAATGTGACATAGTTGGGCATAGCTGAAATCGTGATGAGGTAGAGGAAGCAGCTAGCCCTTGGCTTCTGTCTTCCCAGGTCAGGGACACGGGAATAATTTCTCAGCACGGAGCTCCCTGTTGGATTGACTGTCACGAAGTTACAAGTTTTGCTGCCCAGCATCCAGACATCCCAGTGTAGAGAGTGAGAAGATGGGCCAGAGGGTGGCCCAGGCAGGGCGGGAGATGTGCGGATGAAGGTGAGGCCTCAAGGACCACGGGCCGCCCTCTGACCAAGAGGGGAGAGGGAGCTGAGCTTGCTTCAACACGCTGCTGCCAGTGGGGGCGACTTCTTGACTCTCACAGGGGCTGCGGTCCCCAGGAGCTTTGCAGTAGATTGAGAAGGGACTCCAGGACTCTGGGCTGATGCGCTGGTCGGGCTGGAGCTCAGCAGCTGACAGGAAGCAGCTTGGGGGGTGTTTCATGGGCTGGTGCTGAAGGCCTGCGGCCTCAGGCGTGTGGTGAGAATGACAGGAGGACTTAGAGCAAAGGCCAGACCCACCCAGACTTCGCCTTGGGTTTCTCCAAGGAGTCCTCTGACCTGAGCATGGCCCCTGCTGGCCTCTAACTGCTGCGTCCCTCTGCTTCCCACCTGCGTTGGGCCCCTCTGCCCCTCGGCCTGCTTCTCTCTAAAGGAGCTGGAGCCAGAGCCTGCTGTGCCGCCAGCACCCTGGTTTTCCCTTGGCCCCCACTTTTCTCCATTTCTAGCTCAAGTCTGCTCCTTTGCTTGTTTGGCTTCTGCTGGTGACTTCAGGAGTAATAAACTGACAGGTTTGGGTTCTCGTTTTTATTACTTTTTCCTTGTTCTTGGGTGTTGGGGATCAAAGTCCCACGATTATGCCTTCATCCTCCATGTTCACCATGAACTCAGGTTCATAGTAAGGTTTTGTGATGAACATTATTTTCTGCGGATTCTTCACTGGCGACTTCTGATGTCGCCCTGGTGTAGTTCGGTGAGAACCACAGCAGTTTAACCTAGCGGGAAACCAGACCCAGTGGCTGTGTCTGCGTCCAGTGTTTACCTGTGCGTTTCAGCTGGTCGCTAGACTGGGGCTAAAGTTACCATTTGTTGCTGGAACGAACCTGATCACCTTTTCCTTGCTTCTTCTGACTGCAGAAAAAAACCACAGGAATGTGGATTTCAAAGTGCCTCCTGTTACCGCAGGGGCCTTTCTGTCCCAGCTGATGATATCTGGGCCCTTCTGCCGGTGTAGAGGTGTTGGTGATGAGGTCCGGCAGCCTGCTGATGTTCTGCTTGCCCGAAAGCACAGTGCTCTCTTGAGAGGTCAGGCGTGAGCACCTGAGCTAAGACCTTTTATAAGCAGACCTTCCTGTCTTGCTGTACTTCAGGCCGGTCTGAGACACCACAGCTGTGTGACTCACCTGTCATGTTCTACTGGCCTGAGCTGTCCGTGGCATAAGAAAGGGACACATTAAAAGAGAGTTTTTTAACAGAACTGATTAAAACTTTAAAATTCAATTTTGTCCCCCAAGCATTTACACAGATGTGATCTACCAAAGTAAATGCCTGCAGCCAGGTCACAGAAATTCTGCCAGTGATTCCAAAACAAAAGAAAATAAAACAAGCCATCTTTTGAAACAGGACATCCTTTTTCTGACTACAGTAAGCTGAAATGTCTCACCCTGCTTTAACACAGCGGAGAGCTGTTTTCCACTCTTTTCTATAAGTTTATCACTTAGACCTCGAGAAATCCTGAGAAGTGGTAAGCTTGAATTTTTAAAAAATTGCCTAAGAATATGTTTTTTGTTTTTTTTTTTTAAATAAAAGGAGGAAAACATTGACAGACAGACAACCTTTTACAAAATAGCAAAAGAACAGTACAGACAGTATGGAGTTACAAACAAAGTGGTAGGGAATTAACAATGCTTGTTGTATTACATATTGATATCTTCAAAGTGGTTTCTCATGAAAACAGCTAGAGACATGCAATATTGATCAATCAAGGACTCACTGACAGTTTCTTTCAGCAAAGAAATAGAAGACAGTAGAACAACTATGTTAATATCCTGTATATACATACATACAAAATTTCTCCTCCTTTCCCTTTTCTTTTCCTACATCCCAATTGCCCTTTACTCTTGAGCATTTTCCTATCATTTCACAATGTCTATCATACCTCCTAGTTTAAATGAACTCTTCCAGGTTTTACACTACTGAAACAATGCGGTGCTTGCACATGTATGTCTGATTTATTTCACTTATGAGTATATGTTTTAAAACTCCAACAAGCTCAGGCCATTGTGAATGATCTGTATCCAGTTCCAGGTTTCCCAGTAGTTTCTGGGAAAGGAATCAAAGCTGCTTTTCCTCCCTCACCTCCTGGAAACCCATTATAGCTTCTTCTCCCTGCTGGGACCTCCGTAAGGTTTTCTTCTCCACCTGATTGCAGGCGAGCGATTGGTGCGAACTGGCTGCAGTTGGTCAGACTCTGTCTGTCACTGTCCTGCCGGATACTTGATTCTGAAGTGCTGACTCACAGCCGCGCCAGTGTTAACATGGGACTCCTGCGTATGCTAGGGCCAGCCTGTGGGGATTGCACATGGAGCACAACCGATGTCTTCATTGTGTGTTTTTTTTTCCAAGGGAGCAGTGTTTTAGTGCAAGGGCCGCTGGTTAGTTGAAATTAACTCAAGTAAAACAAGCTGTAGGAGGAAGCCAGGGCCCCCTTCCACACAAAAAGATGGTCAGAAACTGACGGGACCCCTTCATCTTTCAGGAGCTCTCTAACTTCTGGTTTCTTTGTATCCTTTCTGTTTTTATAGCGTTTTACAACATGGTACCACTTCTTTGTTATTTGGGGGTTTTTGTTTGTTTGTTTGTCTTTTTGAGACAGGGTCTCGCTATGCAGTTCAGGCTGGCCTTGAGCTCACTTTGTAGCCCAGGCTGGTCTCGGATTCTCAATGATCCTCCTGCCTCAGTCTCCCCAGTGCTGGGATTACAGGTGTGTACCACCATGCTTGGTGGTTTTTTGGGGGTTTTTTTGTTTTGTTTTGTTTTTGAGAAAGGGTCTTTCTTTGTAGTCTGGGCTAGGCCTGAACTTGAGATCCTCCTGCCTCAGCCTCCAGAGTGCTGGGATTATAGGCATCACCACCACACCTGGCTGTGATACAGTTTCCGATGGGTTAGTTTCTTGGGATGTTTGAGTTGTTGCTGGCACCCACTGGATCTGGTGACCAGGGTGGGAGAGTCGCTTGTGCTGTGTGTGGTCACTTATACCGCCTCTGAGCAGAAGATACGGTTTGTAGCAACGTAGCCTAGAGAGCCAAACAGGTACAAAAAGCCCCTCTTACTGACTATCTTTTTTTTGTTTTTTTGAGACAGGGTTTTACTATACACTTCAGGCTGGCCTTGAACTCACTTTGTAGCTGAGGCTGACCTCAAACTCACAGTGATCCTCCTGCGTCAGCATCCCGAGTGCTGGGATTACAGATGTGCAACTCCACCCCTGGTTTAGAAAGCCTGTCTTATTATTAACATTTTTAGTTACATTGTACAAAAGAAGGAAAGAGTTAGAAAGTAATTGTGTAGTTTTTTGTTTTGTTTTTGTGGTGCTGGGGATTGAGCCATAGTATTGCTGTATTGCCCCAGGTGGTCTGAAATGCATGGATTCAAGAGAGCCTTCTGCCTCAGCCTCCAAAGTGCTGGCACTGCAGATGCCGTCACAGCTGGCTTTGGTCTTACATTGCCTAAAGCCTGGTAACCCAATTCTCCAAACCGAAACTCAGACATTACTTGATGGCACGATGCCCCGTAGCATGCTAAGTTCTAATGAGAAAATAATCCTCCTGAAAGTTGATCCTACAAGCCTGAAAGTTTATACACTTGCTGTTGTCACTTTATTATAAGTGTTGAATATTAATCTGCATGTTCTTTTGGATTTCTTCCAGAGATACGAAGACTATGGAATGACTCCCCCATCTGGCCCATTGCCAAGGTAAAGTTTTCTGAACAAAATATGTTGTGACCTTCTCACATGGGCTGCTGTCTTTGTAGTTGTGTGAACTCGTGTCTGTAACCATTGTGAGCCGATGCAGAGCTCTGAGGTGTGTTCTCCTGATGTAACCTAAAAAGGCAAGATTCACGGTTGGGATTTCAGCTTTGCTACTGTAATGACATATTGGAGAAATCAGGCCAGTCATCCTGCTGAGGACACCGGGCAAGATACTAAAAATGTCCAACCTCAGGGATGACAGGGCCTGCAGCAAGATGGGGCCCTTCCAGCCGGGGACCTCGTGCCTGGGGGGGATGGTGACTCGTGGAGATCAGTGACTTCCTTCAGGGACTGAAGCTCAGCTCCGAGCGGTGACCAGGGATGGCTGCCTGCAGGCATCAGTACAGAGCCCCTTGACGCATAGGTACCCAGCCCCGGGCCTCACATCACTGCCGCAGCAGGTGTCATCCACGTGTATGTGTGCACGGCCAGGCATCAGAGAAGAAAAAAATACAGTTTCTAAAAAGTCAGGAGAAACAGATGAAATGGAATCATAGAGGATCTAGATAATGGAGCTGTCAGACCCAGATTTTACGATAATTACATTTACTGTGCTAAATATGGAGATAAGTTTCATGGTCTGGGAAGATATAAAAGTACTAATTTATGTTAGACTGGTTTTGTTTTGTGGTACCGAGAACTAAACCCAGGCCTTCACACTGACCTACACTCCCATCCCTTTTTCATTTTTTTCATTTTGAGGCAAGGTCTAAGTCACCATATTGCCCTGGCTGAGCTCAAACTTGCCTCGTCCTGCCTCAGCCTCCAGAGTACTGGGATTACAGGCGGATATCGCTTGCCTGTTTTATGTCAAGAATTGTGGTATGGTTTTTAGGGTAATTCACTAAAATAAAGCTGAAAAGTACTTACATGTAAGATAAGGAAAAATAAAGTAATTTTAAAATAATCTAAAAGAAGATATGAAATGGGAGAAGAACAGTAGAATGGGTGGGACATGTAGAAGGGTGCTATGGGATGATATGCAGTTATACTCAGTGACTGTGAGGGTTCCAATTAAAAAACAAAAATTATTTGACTGGATTAAAGATTGGTATTAGACTTATTAGAGATAAAAATATAAAGACAGGAAGGACATGGAAGGTTTGAAAGATACGGATAATCAACTTGATCTAATTGACACTCAATAACTGCAAGAGATACCTGCTTTTAAAATAATTTTAATAATGTAAGAATGTAATGGGAAAGTTTACCTTAAGCCTTTAGAGTTTCTTTCTTTTTTCCAAAATGGCCCCTTAGTAACTGCTGAGCCACCAGCTTTATAAAAGTTACTTATTTTGAAACCATGAAAGTCAGATTTTAAAACATGTAACAAGTTTAGTAAATAGCATTTATTGTTGACAAGTAGCCCTGAATACACATCACTGTGTTTAGTCATCACGTACATGAATACTGTTATATGGAAACATTTAAATGAAGATACGGTTCTCGGGGGCTGGGGATTTAGCTCACCGGCACGTTGCCTGCCTGGCAAGCGCAAGGTCGTGAGTTCGATTCCCGGTACTGGAAAAAAAATTAAAAAAGAAGATACAGTTCTCATGATACAAAACAACTTTCACATGGGTAAAGTAAAATAAATAAATAAAAAGAAAAATGAATAAAATAAAAATTTAAGGGCAAAGGGTGTAGCCCAGTGGTCGAGCTCTTTCCTCACATCAACCAGTCTTCGGCGTATGGCAATAAATAAGTGAGTGAGTGAATGAATAAATAAAACCAAACACTTCTACATGCTGGGCTCTAACAAATCTTAACAAATTTCAAAGCAGTAAAATCACTCAGTGTATTTTCTCATTCTAGTGAAATTAAATTAGGAACTAATAATAAAACATATCTAGAAAATCCCCATACTTTTGCAAGTATATCAGCACCCTGCCAAATAACCTTTAGTACACTGACAAAAATCACAGTGGAAATTACAACACATTCTATAATGAGTAATAATGAAAATAAAACATATTGAAAGTTGTGGGATGTAGCAATAGTTGTGTGGCTATAGCAGTATTCTAGAGGGTAAAGAAGGAATCTGTTGCCTTAAATGAATCTACCTGGAAAAACATGGCTAAAATTCTACAATCTAATTATTCATCTCAAGATGTTAAAAAGAGAATAATTAAATGAAGTAGAAGAAAGAAATTAATAAAAATAAGAAAACTAGCAAAATAGAAAACAAATACCATAATAGAGAGGATCAATAAGGTAAAAAATTAGCTCTTTGAAAGCTAATAAAATTGATAAATCCCTTGGCAAGCTTGGTGAAATATTCTGTGTAACGCATTATTAATACAAGGAGTGAAATGGCACATTACTACAGATCTTACAGACATGAAAGGATCTTTATGAACAACTGTGTTTATACATTTGAAATGGAAAAATTTTAAAAGAGAAAACCCGAATAGTCATATAACTATTAAAAAGTTGAAATTATAATTAAAATTCTTCCCATAAAGGAAACTCCAGGCCCAGATGGCTTCAGCAGTGAATTTTGCCAAACACCAAGGAAGGCACACACCTGTAATCCCAGCACTCGGAAGGCTGAGGCAGAAGGATCGTTGCAAGTTCGAGACCAGCCTGGGCTACAAAGTGAGCTCAAGGCCAGCGTGAACTGCAGTGAGACTCTATCTCAAAAAGAAAAAGAAAAAAAAAAGAAAAGGACATCATATTACAACAGATTGTATTTATTCCAGTAATGCAAGGGTGATTTGGCATTTAAACACACACACGTAATGCACTGCCTTAAAGTGAACTAAGGAGGGAAATCTCATTTTGATAGGTACAGAGAAAGTTCCACATCTATTCATGGTAACCATGGTACTGAACAACAAAAAAACAACAGCCAGAAGTGAACTTCTCTGTTCTGATAAAAAGTATTTTGGCAAAGAGATCTGAGCTTGTCAAATACATACCACATGCAAAGTTCACCTGCTGAGGTGAAAACATTTTATGGATGAGAAATTATTATGATTGTGATTAAATGGTGGCAAACATGTCCTGGGAATATTGCAGGGATTTGACCCCTTATAACTCATGGGATTGATGAATATGCAAAGGAGGCAGCTGGTGGGTGGCAGAATGAAGGATCAGTGCCCTGTAGTCAGTCACTTCATCACCATTGCAGTCATCAGACTGTAGACAGTGGTATCATGTATTGTGTCCAAGTACCCTTATCATACTCAGTACTGTTTTAGTCCCAAAACATAAAGTGTAGTGATGCAGGCAGTTTGGATATGCCACCGAGAAGCCAAAAAGTGCCTTCTCTAAGTGAACAGGTGAAAATTCACCATAAGTAGGTTTGTGTAGGAAAAACATAGCACAGCATGTAGAGGAAGCGCTCACATCATCAGGGACCCCCCGGGGCTTGGGGCAGTAAGCATCCTCCTTGGAAGTGGAGCGGGGGAGTCTGTATTTCTGTTCAGCATGGAACTAGGACTCCTAGCAAGGTGAAGGAACAAAGAGTACAACATTCAAACAAAAAATAATACTGTTATTATTTATAGATGATAGGATTTTCTCTTCCTAAAATATCAACATGTAAATTGTTAGAATTAAGAGAATTTAAGTAAGACGGCTAATTAGCAAGACAAAACTCCAAGGTAAATAGATGCAAGATCAGTGTACAAAACTGTTTTATTTCTGCATATAAGTAACAAATAGAAAAATTTTTAAAGTCAAAGACACCGTCTAAAGTAGGATTCAAAAATATAAAATACTTTGGAATAAATCCAACTAAAGATGCTTAAGCCCTTTAAAGAGAGGGAACTCATTATTTTTATAACGTCAGTTTCCTCAAGTGATCTTTTCTTGTTTGTTTGTTTGCTTTTGAGACAAGGTCTCACTATGTAGTCCAGGTTGGCCTTGAACTCACTGTGTAGCCCAGGCTGGCCTTGAACTCGAGGCGATCCTTCTGCCTCAGCCTCCTGAGTGTTCGGATTAGGGGCGTGCGCCACCACATGTGGTTCTCCAATTCAAGCCCATTCAGAGTTCCCTTAGTTTGAGGAAATTAATTCTAAATCTGATTCTAAAATGTGTATGGAAGTATAAAGAGAAAGGCTTTGAGCAAGAAGGATAGAGCACTGGACTAGTCTCAGTGTTAGAAGTCACTGTCAGGTTAAGACAGTGTGGTGTCAACAGGCCACCGGAACAGAATAGAGCTTCTAGATAGACCCACGGAGAGGGTAATTGACTCATTACAAAGATGGACTTGGAGAAAAAGAGTGAATCTCAGAAATCAAACTCAACAAGCCCTTCAGTGACCAGAAGTCACTCGGAAGTAAGATTGGAACCTGCTTTCTCCTTCCTTTTCTGTTAATTTTCTTTATTCTCCCTCAATTTCAAAAGGGTTTGCTTTCTCCCCTACTCAGGCATAATTTTTGGCCCAAAAACAACAAAGGCAAAAGTGTCCAGATGAGCCTAGATGACCAGGACAGAAGTTACAGATAAGGACACAGGCTGGGCACAGAGGCACACACCTGTACTCCCAGCGACTCAGAGACTGAGGCAGGAGGATCTCTTGAACCCAGGAGTTCAGGCTGGCCAGGTCAACATAGTGAGACCCCCATAAAGAGGCAAAACAAAAAAAAACCCCAAAGAAAAATGAAACAACAGCAAAAATACAGAAGCACCATGTGATCTAGTTTGTCTTAGATCTGCAGTCAGGGTGGCGAACCTCTCCCCCTGGGGTCCATCTAAATCAGCAGCACTTATTTAAAGGGAGTAATGCACATCATCTGGCTTTTCACTTACGAGAAATGCTCCAGTATAGGACAAAGGCTCATCTGTCTACACCCGATCCAACTGGTTGGATCTGTTAACTGCAAAGAACTGAAATAGACTATAATCTTTTATTCTTGAGTTTCATCTTAAGAGTGATTCTGAAGGTGGGGTTCTCAAACCCTTCGAGGGTCCGTGAGATCCTGTCAGGGGGTCTGTGAGGTCAAAACTATTTCCATAATAATGTTAACACTTTATTTGACTTTTCCATCAGTGTTGATGCTTTGACTAAGGTGGGTCAAAGCTGGTGCCTCTGCAGGAATCCAGACAGTGCTACCACCCCTCATGAGCAGCGGTGGAATACTTTACCGTGCGTGTGCAGTTACAGAAAAGCCAGAGTTAGGTTAATATGTCCTTGATTAACTCCTAAGAAATTATTAAATTTAGCTGGGCATGGTGACGCACACTTATAATCCCAGCACTCTGGGTGGCTGAGGCAGGAGGATTGCAAGTTGAACCCAGCCCAGGCACTTAGTGATTTAGTGAGACCCTGTCTCAGAATAAAAGAAGGAAAAAGGGCTGGGGACAAAGCTGAATGTGAAGGCCCTGGGTTCGATTCCCTAGTATTGCAAGAACGGAAGGAAGGAAGATTGGTGTTTTGAGTCTGTTATCAAAGAGGAAGCTCTGTATGAATAAGGCACTTCTGCTGAATCTTGATTCTTAAAGGAAAGCGTTTGCTTGCCTGAATTGAGACAACCAAACGAACTGCTTCCTTGCTTTTCACTGGAACAAACACCTTGCAAAATTGCTGTACAGACTTGTGAGTTTGGCAGACGCTGTTTTGGAAATGCACCAAGTGAGCCTGTCATTTTGAGAAAAACAATAGTCGGTATGTGTTGCCAGTGGTAATGCTGAGCTTTCAAGGAAAGAATCATTTTAGGAAACTTTTGTCTGCCCCATGAGCTTGACACATGCTGGTACCGAAAAGAATTTACTGGGTGAGTAGGAGGTGATACCAGATAGGGTGGGGACAAGAATGAGATTTCTGGATACTGTGAAGTGGAATGTGTTAATACCCATGAGGTCTTCCTGACTGAGAGAACTGGTATTTTCCAAATGACAAATGTCATAAAATTGTGCGTGGGTTAACGGTCCCATTCAAAATGCAAGACAAAGGAATATAGTGGAGCAGAGTAGGAAAAGTTCTTGATATTGTTTGAGAATCAACATTGAGTTTTTTAGCCAGGCGTGGTGGTGCACGCCTGTAATCCCAGCACTCGGGAGGCTGAGGCAGGGGGATCAGTGGGAGTTCAAGACCAGCTGGGCCACAAAGTGAATTCAAGGCCAGGGTAAACTACATAGTGAGACCCTGTCTCAAAAAGACAAAAACAAACAAACAAACGCTGAGTTTTGGTGTGGTATCAAAAAAATTGAAATGTTTTTAAATATTATCTTAAAAGGTTATTAATAGAACCTTCTTTTTCTGAGACTATTCTGTGAGAGATTTTCTTCCTAAAATAACAAATGCCTGCTGATTGTGAAACATGTGAGGATCATTTTTTCACTAATTTGGGAGAAGGGTTGAAGATTATAGTTACGTTCATGAAAGTTGTTAATGTTAATACAGGTTTGTATTATTTTTAAATGAATTTTAAAAACATTTAAAATATTGCTTAATTTTTAATACAGTGTTTTTTTAGTGAGGTTTACTCTCACTACTTAGTTCAGGCTGGCCTCGAACTTGCAGCGATCCTCCTGCCTCAGCTTCCTCAGTATTGGGATTACAAGCACCACCATGCCTCGCCTAGTACTGTAAATACTGATAGATATAATCCACATAAACAAATGGTCTTGGGAGTCCTCAGTTTTTCTTTTTTCTTGTACTAGAGATTGAACCCAGGACCTCTACCCCTGAGCTACATCCCTAGCCCTTTTCATTTTTTCATTTAAGACAGGGGCCTCCCTAAGTTTTACAGGAAATGTGCAAGCCTCCTGCCTCAGCCTCCCAGGTAGCTGAGATTACAGGTGTGTGCACTGTGCTCAGCTTCTCAAAAATTCTTATGAATGTTCAAGGGTTCAGGGATCAAAAAGTTTGAAAACACTGCTTTAGAACATTGGTTTTCAGCTTTGCTGGGCAACTAGACCATCGCAGAATTTCAAAATCGTCCCGGTTGCACTGGAGGTTCTGTTTGGCTTTGGGGTGCAGCGTGGGCCTCAGAAGTTCTAAAATCCCCCCAGGTGCTGCTCAGTGCAGCCAGGGCTGAGGACCTCAGGTTAGGGCAATCCTAGTGATTAGCAGACCCGGGCACTTGACTGTGCCTTCCTTTGTTTCAGAAAGGAGTGTGTTCCTTTTTCTCGTTTGTTTCTAATGGCAGAAGTACATGCAGTCATGCGGCCTGGGTGTTAGATCCCCAGGCTTCCTGCTGGGGTATGAGGTAGGACCCTGAGGGAAGAGTGGAAGCAGAGAGAGCCGCCATCCTGGGGTCCAGGGCGAACTCCGGGACTCAGAGCCCTGATGCCGGTGTGCTTTGCCTTTAGGCCCAGCTTTGGTCCTGGCTTGCTGCCGTCGCCGGAGCTGGGGCCCCCCGACGCCCCACAGCCGCAGGCAGCTGCAGAAGCCCCCCTGGCCGCCCGCGGGGTCTACGCGGAGGAGAGGCCGCCAGTGGCCCGGCCCCGGCCCGTCGGGGGCACCGCAGGTACGTGCTGGGCTGTCCACCCGCGGAGTGGGCGGGCTGCCCCGAGGCCAGAGCTGCCGAGCTCCTGTCCTTGGAGGGAGAAGAGCCCGGGCGGAGGTCGTGGCTGACCTGATCCTGGGTTCCTGACCCTGTGCCCGGGGTGTGGCCACTTCTTCGGGGAAGGCCACTCCACACGCCTCCGGAAACGGAAGGGGCTCTTCCAGAGCGCTCCGGATGCTGCTGGGGTGGAGGTTATACAGTCAGACAGTAAATGCATTTTTGCTTTTGAAAAAATGTAGAAATAATTATTTAGTGGATCTGAGGAACATTTTGTGTGGTTTGGTTGACTTCCAGAAGTCCAATACTTAGTATAGTCAATATAAAGATCCAGGTTTTTAAAGACTGCAATTAAAATGTAGTGATTACATTTCCTCTGGAGTTTTAGAAATTGTGATAGGCCCATTTGCATTGCGACAGTCTAAGTGCTGTTGTTTTTGAGACATTTCAATATCTGTGAAAAGGAAGAGCTTTCTGAATTTTAGGAAAGGAAGAAACAAGTATGAATAGTGCGTTCTGAATTCAGTGTCCTCAATAATGACAGGTTAAGAATTAACGTATTTTTCAGAAAATGAGACAAAAAAAAGAAAAAAATTGAGAGTCTCCTGAGAGTTTTAGGTTTATTACTGAAGCTCTTTTTTTGCCTTTTTTTTTTCCTTTTTGGTGCTAGGACTGGAACCCAGGGCCTTTGCACTGAGCTACATTCCCAGAATGTTTATTATTTTTTGCTTTGAGACAAGGTTTTGCTGAGTTGTCCAGGATGAGCTCAAATTTATAATCCTCCTGCCTCAGCCTCCAAAAGTGCTGGGATTACAGGTGTGCACCACCATGCCCTGCCTTGAGATTCTTTATAGCAGACGGCTGGATCACCCCATCAGTTTACCTGATGTTCAAGTTTGTAGCCCAAATACCAGATTACTGTTTCATTTCATGAAACTTCAACTCATGATAACGACACTGTGAAAGGTCTATTTGTAAATGCTATTCCGTGTTCCTACAGTCTCTGCATAGGGCCGCAGGGGTAGAGTGCTTGCCTAGCATGCAGGAGTCCTTGGGTTTGATCCCTGGCACCAGAAAAGCCAAAAAGAAAATAAAGTCTGTGTAGCTGAAGATCTTAAATTCTTCTTGTTTCTTGTATAGTTCTGCGTACTTTGATGCTTAAATTTCAGTATCATCTCACTGTGTTTTATTACAGAAGCTCAAAGTCACTCTTTTATTTTCCTCATTCGTTTCCTTTTTATTTTTTATTAGTACATGCTTGCAGTACATGATTACTTTATGGGGAGTTTGTACATGTGCACAACACATCTTAATTCTTTTTTCATTCCCTCCTCTCTGCCCCCAACTCTTGATCCCCTTTCTATTTAAGGAAAACCTACCTCCTTACTTCCAATGATCTATCTTTTATTTTGCTCTTTATTTATGTTTTAGGTTTCTTGTGTAAAAGAAACCATGTGATACTTAAGCGTGTGTCTGATTGATTTCACTTAACATTCTGGCCCTAAGGAGCATCCCTTTCTCTACATATGCCTCAAGTTTATCCTTCTTCGTGGCAGAATAGTACTCCATGGTGTGTAAATACCACATTTTCTTCACCCATTCATCTGTTGATGGACATACAGCGTGCTTCCAAGATTTAGCTGTTATGAATTATGACTGAAGCTTTAATGAGAGGAACCATTCATGTTAATTGATGTATTTTGCTATTATCCAACTTTCTGGTGAATGTGAAATGTCATCAAGAAGTTACTTTAGGCCCCTTCCAAATTTGCAGTAATTGGTGCTATTTTTTCGTTATGGTCTTCTAGGAAACTCTTGTGTCTTTCGTGTCTGGTAGTCCACGAAGCACATCGTGTGTCCTGATAGCTTACAGCTTTCTCAGATTTCCAGGTGCTGTGCTTTGCGTGGAGTCTGCATGTTGAGACTTTGCTCCATAGCGTGAACACTAAACAAAATTCAGATGTACTAATTTTTAATTAAACTGTCTAGATGAACATAGAAGTTACATGTTGAAGAGGAAGTTGCCATATTTAATACTTTCTGGTCAGAAGTGATATTGTAAAGTATTAAGATTTATTAGAATTACATTTTTGACTATAGAAAATTATCAAATATATATAGATCTAAAACAAATAGCACCTAGGAAAAATTTACAGCACATGTTGGCCAAGAGCTTTTTTTCCCAGTCCTGGGGATAGAACCCATGACCTTTGAAGAGCTCCATCCCCAGCCCTTTGTTTTTGATACTGGCTGTCACTAACTTGCTAAATTGCCCAGCCTGGGTACAAACTTGGAATCCTCCTTTCTCAGCCTCCCAGCGTGCTGGGATTCCAGGCATGCATCACCACACCCTCTCTGACCCAGAGGCATTTTTATGATAGAGGATGGCGCGTATAAATCACCAAATGGGCAAACCTCAAAAGTCAAAGGAGCAAAGGATGGCAAGAAAGAATTCACAAAAGAGATATGTGCATGCATGTGTGTGCACATGTGCCCTATAAAAAAGCAAGCCAGGAAAAAAGCCTAGTCTTGAGAATAATTGAAGAAATACAGATTAAAACTGTGGGGTACAGTTATGATCATGAAATTATTTTCATAAGAATATGGTGTGGCAAAACCTGCATATGGGGGTTATTAGTATTCATTGCTTTCAGTTGTTTTGCTGATTGAATAAAATAGCAGATGTAAAGTGCCCCGAATACTTCCTGGCATATCATATACTTTGAGTGATGCATTATGATCCCATTGTTGTGATTATTATTGCATTATTTCCAGCAGTGGTATAAATCATTACATATTGGAAAATAATTTGGCCTTAGGACTCATGAACATTTATTTAGTGATTTTGTTTCTGGGACTACAGGACCCCTCTAACCTCCAAATCCAAAATATTCGGGGAAAAACGTGTGCCAAGATGTTTATCCCAGAATTATTCAGAAAGCCGAAGCGTTGTCAGGTCTCTAGACACCCAGTGTAAGTACATCAGTGAATAAATCATACAGCTTTTTAAAATGAAGAAAGCTGGAAAAGAGGAATTTGAGATTCACTAGTTGCTGCCCGTGTGGTTGGTACTCGGTCTCTTTCGTGTTCTCTCATCCTTGAACTGACTTTCTGCTCTTGATGTGAGGAGTGGAGGCGGCAGCTGCCCCACGTGGTGTAGCTTGTCACAGGTGGGGCTGGGTTGGCTCCAGGTTTGCTGGGTTCCATGTCCAGTAGGGGGAATTCTGGCTGTATTGAGAAATGACTGAAACAAGATACAAAGTCATGACTGGATTAGGATTTCAGCCATCTTGTGATTTAACACAAAAGGTCCGCTTTCTCCCCTCGCAGTTGATCAGACTGCTGAAACGCTGGAGAGCACACCCAGGGTGTGTTCACAGCTCCTCGGAAGATCTGCTTGTCTACTGAGGAGACAGCGCCAAACAGCATTAGTGCTGCCGTTGAGTTTTCAGAAATAGACAAGTGCTTACAGAGAGTCCGGTGCTGTGGCAGAAGCCTAGCTAATGTTCTGTGACCTTTCGTTATCATCATGTATCCAAATAAAACCACGGAGGAGCCCTTGCTTTAAAAGTGCAGTAGGTTAGTTGGGGTTAATAAGCAGACACGGGGAGTGGGAGGTGGAGAACCCTGCGAACTCTTGGGACCTGAAACATCACTGCTGGATCCGATGATCCTCGGAGCATTTGGAAATAAGTGTATTATTTCACAAGAGTTTAAAGACCACTTTTGAGGGCTTAGGGTATAGCTCAGCAGTAAAATGCTTTCCTGCATGCTCAAGGCCCTGGGTTCTGTCCCCAGCACTACAAACAAATAAAATAATTCACTAAACATCACTTTTTTCCTCTCCCTTAATTTGCAGTGTAGAGATATTTCCATATGCTGAAAGTTGACAAGGGAGGAAAACAGGTCTTTTGACACCTGGCTTTCAGAGCTACATAGGGACATAGGGGAGGGGAGTTCGCACCAGAGAGCTGGCTGGCGTGGCCCTCCCTGACCACGCGGGGCGAGTGTGCTCTGGTTGGGTTATGGTAACAGTGTGAGTATAATGGACTTCAATGTTTTGAATTCAAATGAGTACATTCCCTGCCTGCCTGGCTTAGTCACTGCTCCTGTCTTGGATATACAGTGCCCACCAGCCTCAACTTAAAGGAGCAGTTGACTATGGGTCACAGTTTGTAGAGGTTTCGGTCCATTGCCAGCAGCTCCAAGGCAGGGCGGCGCGGTGGAAGGGATTGGGCGGAGGGGAGCCGCTTACCTCATGGCAGACAGGAAGCAGCGGGAGGGGAGGAAGGACGCCCTTCCAGGCCAGACCCAGACACCTGCTCTTCCAAGCAGACCTGGCCTCCTAGCAGCAAGTCAGCTATAGGCCCCAGTCACCTCCTAAAATCCCCACTTGCTCTTGGGGGACATCTCGATATAACCAGAACACTGCCTTATAAGAACAAAGCATATTGTTGTGTGTTCAGCTCCTTGTGAATCTCAAAGCCACAAGTGCAAAGGAACCAGATTTCGGCCTCTGTGGCTGCCAGCCTTTCGCTCCTTTCTTCCAATCAGTAAGCCCACCCTGGCCGTAACGCGCGGACACAGCGGAGTGGGACCTTCATCCCCAGGCCTCGGTGAGGGCAGGAGAGTGGCCTGTGCTGAAAGGCAGGAAGCAGCGCAGCCCATTTTGTCAGGAAGCACCATACCTGGAGCAGCCTCGGCGCTGTTTGAACCGTGGTCGTTCCCCTTGCGCTGAAAGGAGCCGTGGTCGGAGCCGGTGGGGTCCTCCCCAGCAGCTTCCCTCGCCTACACATGCCGACCAGCCCACTGTGCTGTGTTCCTTCCAGGCTCCCAGATCCAGCACCTGACACAGGTGGGAATCGCCAGCAGGATCGGGGCGCAGCCGGTGGAAATCCCGGCCGTGAGAGGCAGCCAGTTCGTGGGCCCAGGCTGGGCTGCTTACGGGGAAGACGATGCAGGCCGGAGAGAGGCCGTGAGTACCTGGGGCTGGGCCCTTCCCTCAGATTCACACCTGAGCACTTCGTTGCATTGATGGTCTGCTTTTAAAACCTATGTTTCAAAGAAGCTCCCCTCTCCCTTACTACTTTTGCCTTTCCTGTGTGTTTACTTGCAGGTTTTAGGTGATAAATTTCTTCCCCCTGGGCGTGGTAGTCCATGCCTATAATCCCAACACTTAGGAGGCTGAGGCAGAAGGATCATTGGGAGTTCGAAACCAGCCTGGGCTACAAAGTGAGCTCAAGGCCAGCGTGAACTGCATAGTGAGACCCTGTCTCAAAAAGACAGAAATTAAATTAAATTAAATTAAATTAAATTAAATTAAATTTTTTAAAAATGAATTTTCTCCCCCTTTGGGAAAGGAAAGGATTTTTCATGAGGCTGATTTCAGGCCTTTAGTGAATTTGAACTTGAAGATGAATCACATCTGGACTTCATCTTTGGTGCAATTGCTTTATAAACATTGGTGCTCTTTATATATATTCACACCCATCATGATGGCCACACAGAGCCTGTTGCCACCATGACTACTGTTCCTGGATAGATTCGCACCACACACTTGGTGTGGGGCCTTGGCAGTCACATGTCTTCCGTTTGAGGCCTCTAGTTAATATGGACACAGAATTTCTAGTAGTACTCTCATCTGTTTTTCTTGATAATTTTATATCCTTGCAGGATACTTTATCTTTTTGAGTCAGGGTCTTGCCATGCAGTTCAGGCTGGTTTTGAACTCACTTTGTAGCCCAGGCTGGCCTCAAACTCACAACGATCCTCCTGCCTCAGCCTCCCAAGTGCTGGGATAACAAGCATGAAAAGGAAAATGCCAGCTAAATGATAGCTTTCAGTTTTATGTTTATCATTATACTGCAGCTTTCTTCATCCTTCTATGCCTTCTCCACAGTGATTCCTCTCCTGACCAAATGCTTCCACTCAGGGAAAGGAAGTCAACTTCCGATGTGATTTTTCCCTGAAAGACATTTGTTAGGCTTGTGATCTAAATATTTGCTTAAAGTTGGTCCACACTTCTTTTTCTGCGTTCTTTGTACCCAGCTTAGGTGTACGAAGTATTTTAGGTTTTCCTGTCAAATCCAATAACGTTCACCTTGAAGTGTTTCTTTACTGGAACTTGGAGAAGTGAAATATAGAAATAAAAGAGCCAGAGCTTTGGAGGCCGTGTTTTCTTCACCGATAACTTACTGTCAGTGTTATTTTTTCTTGTAGGACGCCGATTTAGTTCACGGACCACATGCTGCTGTAGTAGTGCACTAACCTGAGATTGTTTCTTCCCCCCACTGGAAAAAATGTGAAAAACAAAAATCACTGAAAAATGTAACATTTGTGTCGAACTTGTAGCAGATTTTACCCTGGGAATACCAGAGGACTATTGTCTACTATATTGCAAATGACTTGTTAAAGAGAAAGCTGTAGAAAACACAGGGCAGACACACACACACACACACACACACACACACACACACACAGACCGCACTAGATGGGTGAGATGCAAGCTGGTTCTGCGGTCCCAGTGAGACTCACACGCATGTGTTCTGGGGCCCAGGGCAGAGGCAGGGGCTCTGGATGGTCCCTCCGTTGGCATCTGCTGGTTTCCCTGACCTTTGACCTCTCTGGGGTGCCTCTGCTCCCTTCCTCACAGGCTTCCCAGGCTTACCCTATTCTCCCCCTGGGCCAGGAGCCCCGGGCTGGCCCCTGTCTGCACCTACTTATTCTCCACCCAGCAGCACAGGGGCCTGGCAGCAGGGGCCTGGTGGGGCTGAGGGAGTGGGTGGGGGTGGATGGAGGAAGGCCAGGTGCTGGTTTGAACTTGATCTTCCCTCTGGTCCTCACATGGGAAGTGCAGTAACATTTGCCATGTTTTTCAGCCCCACATGCTTGGACATCAAGAATATTCTTCTTCACCGCTGTTTCAGGTGCCAAGGACTTCGGGCAGGGAGCCCTCGGCTCCTCCTGGGAATCTGGCCCATCGTGGGTTGCAGGGCCCTGGGCTGGGCTACCCCACCAGCTCCACGGAAGACCTCCAGCCGGGACATTCCTCAGCTTCCCTCATCAAAGCCATCCGAGAGGAGCTGCTCCGGCTCTCCCAGAAACAGAGCGCCGTGCAGAATTTCCACAGCTGATCGGCCCTGCCACGTAGGTTTGCCGGTATCCGCTTCCCGTGGAAGCAAGACCAAGAGGAAATCAACTGAGCGGATGTGTAGAAGAGGAGCAGCATCTCCTGGGCACGCTGCCCGCCTGAGGGAACAAGCCGCAGTTTCAGATGTTGCCATAACTCATACGATAATTTTACTTAGGTTGGCCCTTTGGTGACCACTCGGGAAATGTATGTATTTTTGGCCAAAAGCCAGCAGCACTTCACAAAAATGAAACATAAACCTAAGCTAACAAAATTACTAAGTTAGTCTCCTTGTAAAAGGCGAAAGGTGGAGTAGATGATACAGGGCAGAAGGAAACCAAGCATTTCTGTGGGATTTGGACTGAGGTGTACCACGCACGTGCTGCTTTGTTCTCTGAGAAGAGAGATTTGAAGACATTTCATTAACAGTTTGATTTCCCTGTTTTCCTCCTTAGGAACTTATTTTGATAGTAACATTAACAACGAACACTTAAGACTGTTGGGGAATTTTAAAGAAAGCTACTAGTGAGAAACCAAATGATAGATTGTAGAGCCTGGTGACCCCAGATGAAGCCATCACTGCGTTCTTCCTCCTCCTTTTCTGGTGCTAAAGCTCCGAAATCCCCTTCATCTTTTTGTGTGTGAAATGCGACTTTGGCTTTTACAGTGGAAGAACATGTTGGAGGTTTCATTTTGTTCTAGGAAAAAAGAAAAGAAAAACAACTCCCAAGTTTGGGGGAGGTGGGGGAGCTATTTATTTGGTTAATCAAAATACATATCAATGTTTAGATTTTCATTCTTAATTCTATTTGCTGTTTATTACTTGGGCACTTGCGGCTCCAGGTGGAGCCCCCTTCTGCACATGTGGTGAAGGTCAGCCCCTCAGAATGAGGCTCTCAGGGGTCCTCACTCTTAGACCCTTGCACTTTGCTGATGATTGGCTCACATATCGTGCCGGATGAAAAATCTTAGGGAAGCAGACATCATTTCTGACGAGTCTTAGGATCATCCAGTTGCTACGGATCCATCTTAGCGATCAGATTCCCCGTGTGCGGAATTGGAATTTCCGGAATTGGAAACGAGTCCAGTTCAGCCTCTGTCACAGATCAAGAAGTGTGAAGAGGAGTTTTGAGACCACAAAGGAAAGGAAAGTTGCCCTTCATCCTGATTTTATTGTGTTATTACTTTGTTGAGTGACTGTTAAAACTGTTGTGCACTTTGGGCCAGGGAGAGGTGGGTCATCTCACCAAAAATGTACCCCCGAAGTTAGCATTTCCCTCCTTCCCGTGCTATAGTCAGAAAGACAGTGGTTTTCTATTCTGATGCTTGAGTGAAACTCGAAGGATGTACATGTGTACAGAAGAGATTTCTACTAGGGGGCCTCTTTTTAGCAGATGAACTAATACTTTTGATTAAACAATAGGTAATAAGGTAAATTCAGGATTCTGCCTAACCAGAATCTGTGTATCTGCAGTAAATTTAAAGACCCTGGATACAGCTAGAACAAGTTTCCAGAGTGTAGTCATTGGTTTCAGGGTCATGCTGGTTAGGCCTGTGATACAGGTATAGAATCTCAGGACCAGGCAAAGTCCATTCTGAGAAGTGGAAGTGTATCCAGAAGCTCCTGTCTGGCTGTGTCCAGAGGCTCCAACATGCATGGGAGAAAAGTTCCTCCTCGAGATTGATTTCTTACCTCTTATTCTTGTTTTAATACTTTACTGTTCCCAAGGTGGAGGATCCTCTCTCTGTGTCACTCAGAAAGATCAGGTTTCCTAAATGTGGTGTCAAGACTTTCACATACCCCGAGTTTTATGATGGACCCTTACGATGAATTCAAATCATGTGACAGCAGATGGAATAAATGGCCCTTTCTCTCCTGGTTCTGCTCCGTGTCATAAGTGTTTCGCACGCAGAGTGTCCTAAATGTGGTTACTTCCTTTGTAAGTTGCAGAAACGGGTCTCTGCTGCCAAGGATATAACTGCGACCACAGTTGTGATGCCTTTCCAGCTACCATAAAGGGATTCTACCTGTATTTTTATTCTTAGAATCAATACACCTTTAAACCAATGTCAAGACCAAAGACGACATGTAACAAAGTACTGCTAGTGAATGGAGCAGTGTGAGCAGGCCCCGGTGGGATCACCAGCACTCTGTTGGTTGAAGAAAAACAAAGCACACTTGATTTGCACTTGTTTGCTCTAGACATCGCCCACAGCAGGTTGACCAGTTGCCAGATTCAGAATGCGCTGGCTGTGGGTGACACACCATGCTCAGTGGGGCTCCAGACACTTAGTCAGTGTTCTTTGCTTAAAAGAAAGTCCTGTTGTTGATCATGTGTAGCTTTGGAGTTCCACAGATTGAAGCGCTCTACACAAAGTTAAACTTTAGGTCTCTTCTTTTTTCCTGTTTTAGAAGTACTAGTGGTAAAAGAAACTATAAATCTGAGCCGGCATTTTTTAGAAGATTTTTTTGGAGGCGTCAACTTTGTCACTAATCCACTGTGCCAAGTTCTTTCTCTGAACCTCATTCTTCCTCAAGTATAGACCTCCCCTGCCTGCCTCCTGGGATTGTTGGTTGTGAGAACCAGGTGTGATCCTGTGTGCAAACTTCCCTGGAGGAGGGAGCATAAAGCACTGTGAAAATGTAGCATGTTTTCTGTGTCAATGCCCTGGGATGGCCTGTGTGATATGCTGTGACCTACCAGAGAACGGGTTCACACCTAGGCAACCAGAGCAAAAACGGAAAGCCTGGTGTGACTCATCTTCCTCATTCCTGTTTTATTTTAAATTCTCTTTCTCCCATGACTTTCAAAAAGCATCTCAAGTATCTTTCTGCTCCTGATTTTCTGCTCTGTCTGGCACCAAACAGGTCAGCATATGTGAGCCCTGCCTTCTGAAATCTTAGACTCTAACTCGGATATTACAGATGGGTATAAAAGATGAAAGATACTGATTTTTAAAAAACATCCATAACATTCATTCAAAGCACACAAGTGCATTGGGCACTCAGAAGAAGTTGTGGAAGTCGCACATCTCAGAGTGCTGGGTTCTGGTGAGAAGTGAACTGCAGAAGTTACTTGGATGAAGACAGAGGAGCTGCCCAGGCCTATGGTGAAATGGCCTGGGACGAGCCCAGAGTGGGCCTGGGGGAGCATGTGCAGATTGGAGTATGCTGTCTTTGAAAAATGAATTTTGATTCTGATCTGCTGTAGTGTAGGGACAGCATAGGGAGCTTCAGAGGAGGAAGTAGTGCAGGGAGGAGCATCTGCAGTAATGCAACAAATGAATGACCAGGCTGGTAAAGGTCTACATGGAAGAGCTCCACTGTGGGGAGGGGGAGGAGAGTACCAACAACTGCTGCAGGTGTGGTGCATACCAAGTTATGAATAAATACATTTGACTTCTTCACAGATACCTACAAGTTTTCTTCCCAGTTTTATTTAATTTCAGAATGTGTGTTGATCTCAGTGGCATGTGGCTTTTAAGCAGTGCGTTTTTGGCAGCCAGATTTTTCAGGGTACGAGGCCTGTGACGCAAACTGGAGGTGAAGGTGTGCTTGGAAGGCTTTGGGCTGAAACAAGTCATTCTCTGCTGTATGAGTCTCCCGTTTCCCACGAGCAAGGCCAGTGTTTACCGCATTTGTATGATAACTTCATGTGTGCTCCATTAAGCAAGCCGTCCCCCATGCAGATCTGCTTGGTTGTGCTTCCCAAGTTAATCATTAAAGGAGCCTCACCGGGCCTTTCCTCTTGAGTTCTTAGATGGGAATGTAATCGACGTGGGGAAGGAAGGCTGGTTGAGTTTTCTGGGCTCGGGGCCAGGGGCTTGCCCAGGCTTAAGTCTCACATTAGCTTTAGTGAAATTTTCAGCAGGTCATTTCTACCTCCAAAGCAAGGCTCCAGACTTCATCACCAGAGCCTGCTCATCCGCATTTGGCCCAGGCAGGAGCACAAGAAAGGCCACCTCTGAACCTGCAGATGGGCCGCATGAGCACAAACACATTTTGGGCACAATCCATGAAACTTTTTACATTGAATCCAACACACTACATTCTTCTTGTAACCGTAGAGGGGCTTTCATGGGCTACTGCTGTAACACTCATGAAATGTTTAAGCTTACGATTGTCACCTAGTGAACAAGGAATATGCACATTTCTGGTTTCTTTTGACATTTCTGGAGGTGATTGTTGATATTTAAACTAGGACGCCTTTGTCCACTATTAAAAAGACTTGAAAGCTGAAACGTCAAGGTGCAGTGCTAATCCCATGTTTGTGTGTGTAACAATACACTTACAAGTTATGCTACAAACACACAGCAGCATAGAAGTAGAGAAGGAATATTAAAGTGCTTCGGGTACATGAAGCAGTTAGGATCCAGCAGGTAAAGCAAGAGAAGCAATCAATGTCTTCACCTGATAACCTTGAGTCCAAACCATTGTCCCACAGGGTAGGTAAAGATCCAGGCTCCTTGCTTTGCCTTCTTTCCCCAGAGTTTTTCTGCTCTGGGACCATTTTGCATTTAAAGAACGAGTGAATAGGTTGAAGGTACTGAGTGAAAAATGGAATAATTTGAATCTTACTGTCCCTGATTATGTAGAACCTTCCTCCTGGACTACCTGGAGTAGTCTTTCCTCGTGCCCACAAGATTTCAAGTACTCATAACTCATCTTCCCAGGGCCAAGGTCAAGCCAGACACCCCGTCCTGTTCCTCCTGCAGTGTGGGAAGAGAAGAGGGAGGTGCTAGAGGAACTCAGTTGCTCTAAGCACCAGGGACTCATTTCAAGGTGGAGTGAAATGCTCCTGACATTGCTGGCTCCCAAGGGCTCGCTGGGAGCATTAACAGGAGAGGTTGCTCTGAGGAGCTGCTCTGCCTGGGGTGCTGACTCATCTCCCCCCTTTCCAAGGTCCTGTTCTTCTGATTCTTCCTGCACCCTCCTTCCTAGATGATGACGATTAATGTACGAAATTGTGCAGAGCAAATTGGAGCCGCCTGCGGCATCAATCCTGCAGCCTGAACTTGACAATCATAGTTTGCTGGTCTCAAACGGGCACTTAAATCTCAGTATGGGTATATGATTTAGTAATTGAACCTGCCCTTCTCTTTGTCGGTTATGTTTCTACCTTCCAATTAGCTGCACTGTTTTCTAATGAGCTGTAGAGTTTTGGAAATAATTTATGCAAGTGTTTGGTTTCCATGTTTACAATTTTTACAGCTTTCTTAGCATTTTAAATGGAAATGTCAATAAATGCTATGAAATGGTGTCAACGTGATATTTTCTGTTTATTTCCTTTGCAACATGATCGCTTTCTCATTTGTAAAACTTGAAGAGTTGGATCAGGTGACAGTTCAGTTCTCTCAGGCTGTGTCCCTGGAGAGAACACTTAGTACTTTTGTTTGCCGAGGAATTAAATCGAAAGTATCCCATTCAGCGTGGGATCTGCAGAAATGTTTTCACTCACATTACCGCGGCCACGCCCTCTACTCTCTCTTGTGCTCTACTCTTACCAGTCAAACCCATGCACACAGGAAGAGCGATTTCATTTTGGAATTAAAAGATTAGGACTCTACAATTTAGAAAGACAAATGAGCAGATTGAAGTCCATACACCCTTGAAAGGTAATAGGCTAAGCCTGAAGTTGTTTATGAAACCCAAGCAAAGGAGAAGCCCTGGGCAAGTCAGAAAAGCACAAGAAACTCAGATCGCAGGGCACGCAACAAGTAAGCAAAGTGTGGAATCGAGGGAGGATGACAGCAGAGGACTCTAGTGGAAGCCCTCGTGAGAGCCAAAAAAGTCTGTACTTGAGTGAACAGTTTTGTAGAAGGGTATTTTACTGTGGTTATTGAGACTTCAGTAGGGAAAACTGTAGCAAAGGTGTACAGAAACCTTGGGTGCCATTTTTGTAAATTTTCTCTGAATCTAAATTCCTTAAAAATATAAAAAGAAACTAATGTATAGGTATAGGTTAAAGGCCATGGGGTCTGCTATGGTTCTGTCCTGTGTCTCCACAGCCTCAGATTGGCAGACCTTCTCAGGGTCCATGGCTTCTGCTGACGTTGGAGCCACAGTTAATGATCCCAGGTGTGGCAGAATGGTGTAGCTCATGACAGCACAAGCTAAGTACGCGAGGCACCACCCGCCCCCCGCCCAGCACCACTGGGGAAAGAAAGAGTTTTCAAGGTCAACCAGAAGGACCGTTCCAAACTGAAAATGGAAAAAAACCAGACCGCATGGAAAGACTATTTCAAATGTTTAAGTACATTTTTAAAAATCCCTAACGAACAAGAACAGAGCATTATGGAAACTTAAGCAAACCTGACCAAATAGAAAATCTTCAAAAGAAAAACGAGGAAATTAAGAATATACATATATACCTAATAATTATATATCCCAATATTGTAGACATAGCTGAAGAAATCATTAGGACAGTTTTAGCCCATCTTGAGCAGGAGGTGTGTGTCGCTCAGCTTGAGCTCTTGTCTAGCCCGCACAGGGCTCTGGCTTCCACCCCCAGCACCACACACATGCACAAGGGTGTACGTGTGTGTATATATATGGTATGTATTAATAAATATTGGTTTAGATTCAAAAGAGCAAAAACACCATGCGAACTGATAGAACTCCCTGTGAAATTGTACATGCTCTGAGTGAGAACAGGTTCAGGGCAATAGAAGAACAGGAAGTCTCTAGAAGCAGGTGAGGCTTAGCAGAAAGGTCAGGCCTTGCTTGCCCTGAACTATTCGGTTGACAGCAGAAGGAATCTGAACCACAAATATTCCTCTTTCTTCCTTATCTCTATGTACCAATTACAACTTAAGGTAGAAAGATAAACAAGAAAGATAAACAAGAAGAAAAAAAGATAAAAGAGAGGTCCTTTGGTCCTGAGTGAGATGATTAATGAAATCTTACTGTTGGATGTTTCCTCACTTATTTAGTAATGTTCATCCTCCACAGATCTCCAGCCCTCTGCCCTTATTTTGGAATAAGTAGGGGTGGTGGTATATGTTTGATATCTGTAGTATTAAATCCTGGAGAAATTATAGCCACAAGTCTAGTAAACCATGTTTGTGTAGTTAACTATTATTATGTTGTAATGGTGCCAGAGTATAGCATTACAGAAGGATAAACCCGAGCCTGTCTGGGAAACTTACGCCGTGACATTGCTTCGGAGAGCCAGAGTTGTGGACATCTTCAGTGTCCTAACACATATGTGTGCTGGTGTTGGGATTTGGGTTCTGTGATATGGGAATTTACCTTAGATTAGTGACTTCTTCCATTTGGCATGGCAAATGCTCTAAGATAGTTTTAAAGGAAATGTTATTGCAAGAAGTTAAAAGGGGAAGGACTTACAAGCTGAAATAAGGTCACTGTAGTTCAGCATACATGAGCGTCAGTGTTGGTTTCCAACAGGAGTTCTGCACTGTGGCTGCTTTGGAAGAGCTTAGGGATATTCTTTCTAGCAGAATCCAAACAAGCAAACAAGGTCTGGATCCAGCTCCGAGTGAGAAAAAGAAGTCCCCCAAGCACAGGGTTTAGGTATTGTTCTTTCTGGGTTCCTGGTGAGACCGTTTGGGTCACAAAGTAGAAGAAAGTTTTAAAAATGTAATCATCATATACTAGCTCACTGATATTCACCTTGTTTGTTCTGCCTTTCCTGGTCAAAACATAGATTAGGGGCTGGGGATTTAGCTCAGCGGCAAAAGCGCCTGCCTGGCAAGCACAAGGTCGTGAGTTCGGTTCCTGGTACGGGAGAAAAACCAAAAAACCAAAAAACAAAAAACAAAAAACAAAAAAAAAAAAACGTAGATTAGCAGAAATGAAGGAAGTAAAAACCAGTATAACTTTATCACCAGAAATAACCAGCATCAAAATTCTAGGGAATTTTTTTTATTTTTTTAATTTTTTATTTTTATTTTTTTGTTTTTTTCCTCCGGTACTAGGAACCGAACTCACGACCTTGCGCTTGCCAGGCAGGCGCTTTTGCTGCTGAGCTAAATCCCCAGCCCCCGGGAATTTTTTTTAATGTCAGCCAGTTTGATCTTGCTTTGTGGTTAGGACCGATCAGGATGACTTGCTTGGTCATTGACCGTATGTTAAGCTATTGATTTGGCTTCCAGGACAAACAAGGGGCAGGGGAAGCAGAGGGGTTGGAGCTTGTGAAGGTGTGGACTGGAGAGAACAGCAGGAAAGCTTCCGGGGGAAGGAACTGCTGGAGGAGAACGCTGCTCACTCAACAGCAACACCAGCGCTGTAACAGCTCCAGCCCCCGGGCCCCTTCTGCACGCAGGTAGGGAGGGGCAGAGGCAGAGAGCTTGGCGGCAGGCTGGGTCCAGACAGCTATGCTCAATTTCTAGCCTTTGGCTTCAATGCTGGGCAAAGCTGAGACTTCAGCAAACACAATGCCTTGGAGGGACCCTCATGAAAATGTCTGCCTCGGTGTCTTTTCCTTCACTGTGAGTCTATCCTTGTGTTGTAGGCAGCTGAATTAGATGGAAATACTACAGGCAATCAGGGCTAGGCCTTCAAAGGCCAGTATGGAAGATGGGATACCTTGCAACTGTGGGAGTGCTGCTGCTGTGGGCCAGACCTCAAGACAAAAGATGAAACAAATGCACCCACATACCTCCCTAGGGATGGACATCAGAGATTCATATTCTAAATAGGTATCAGTCACCTTGAAAAAGCCAGGAAGAGTCACTACCCCAGTCCCCTATGGGAAAAGCCCCTGATCTGTATTCATGGCAGCTTGCTACGTGACCCGCTTCCCCATTTGATCCTGATTTAATCAATTTTACCGGAACAACTGTACTTGTAATCTTACTGGCCGATCATAGTTTTGTCCCACCTCATGCCCACCTTGTGATTTCCCATTTTTCCCCTGCCTTGGACCCGCCTCCCTTTGTGGTTTTGCTCTATAAAAATCCCTAGAAAAGGCAGGTTCCTTGGCAACCCACTTGGGTCCCTTTCTGTCTCTCTCTTGGACAGAGCTTTTTTTCCTCAATAAATATATTCTGCTCTTAACCTGTATTGTTTCTAAAATTCATTCTTCGAATTTAGAGAACACAAACTCTTCCCAGATATCTAGCAGGTTGGGAGTTTCTTTCTGTAAGGTCGGTGGGCAGGTACAAGGTGCAGTTACAGAGAAGAGAATTTTATTGGAATGGGAGTGACGGGTGGGACTCTAAGGGTAGAGACCACGTGTGCCAAGAGGCAAGGAGTTTGGGTTTATGTAGGGGCGGAGAGGTTTTGGCTTTCTTTGAGTGGCCAGGACATTTCTAGGAGGGACTGACATTTGTGGATTAGGTCAGAGCAGGATGCCTGTCAGGAGGTAAATTAGATAACAGCTGGCTTGTCAGCAGCAAATTAGATTACAGATGTCTGTCAGAGAGATGGGGTTGGTTTTTGTAGTTTCTCCACTGGAAATGGACTGGAATGCACTCTAACACTTTCCCCTCTATCATTTGCCTGCCAACTAAGGGTACACAGCAAGTCTCTACCATGCATTTCCTGCCCAGACGGGCCCCTCTTCCTCCCCACTCACTGGCCGGATGGAGGACCAACCGGGAGGAACATCTCAGTTATTTCTCAAGGGTGGAAGTAGACTTGGGCCTCTGACAAAGTTCCCCAGGCAACATCCCCTTTCACGATAAGATTTCACTTTGGGTGGTCATTGACCCTTGGACCTCAGAAGCTGTAAATATTTGTATGCTAATATCAGTGGATTCATAGTTACTTACTGAGTTTCAGATCACTCAGAGCTTTAGAAGGGTAGTATTACAGTCGATGGAAAGCTAAACACAGGGCCAAGGAATTGGCGATGATTTTATTCTTATTAATTGTAAAGTTTTTCTAGGTTCAAATGGGTGTGTAGGATAAAGAGGTTATGACCTAACCCTGTGTAGGATAAAGAGGTTATGACCTAACAAGAATTTATAAGGAAGGAAGTTAATGGACATGTTGGAGATCACTAGGAATATTAGGGGGGGTTAAAAGATCAACCCAGCCTTAAGCTCTATGAACAGAAATGTAGTGCCCCAGTGGGGCATTATGTGGATTTCTCCTCTGCTGGTTATGTGAAGAATTTATGCTGCACATGTTGAAAGAAATGCTTGTGAACTGGGTGGAGAGTCAGAGAACAGTCACCAGAAAGACAGAACTGGAAAGTTTTCCATTTAGTCGGGACTCAGGATAGCAGGTATTTCCCAAAAGGAGTGAAGGCTTATAAGAGAGAAATAGTCTTCAAATATCTGCAGTGCTGTCATGAGAAAGAGG